CTTCAGTCTGTTTACTTTCTTTGGAAAGAAGTCTTTAACATTAGACATAATCACATGAACTCTTTGCCAATAACACGTTGGAATGGTGCACTTGGACTCTCTTTGCTGGCTCTTCATCGTTGGAAATGGTGTTTGCAAGGACTTGGAGGAGGCTGGCATATTGGATTGGAACAGCATGCCAACAACGCTGGACTGGAGGTATTGCTAAGTCGCTAAGGAAAAGCAGAGGTGAGTTGGTTTCATTATCATTTGTGCACTCTTACTAATTAGTACTAACATTTCCCTCCCGTCCCTCACTCTCAACACATATTTTGTAGTAGTTCTTTCCTATTGTTTTCTATTCTGTTGTTTTTTCTTTGTCTAATCTTCTCTGTTCTCTCTTTGCCGGGATATCATCGTTGGAGATGGTGCACTTGGATTTGGCTGGCTCTTCATTGTTGGAGGAGGCTGCGTATTGGATTGGAACAGCATGCCAACAACGCTGGAGTGGAGGTATTGCCAAGTTGTTAAGGAAAAGCAGGGGTGAGTTGGTTTCATTATCATTTGTGCACTCTTACTAATTAGTACTAACATTTCCCTCCCCTCCCCCACTCTCAACACATTTTTTGTAGTAGTAGTTCTTTCCTTTTTTTTTGTTCTGTTGTTTTTTCTTTGTCTAATCTTCTCTGTTCTCTCTTTGCCGGGATATCATCGTTGGAAATGGTGCACTTGGATTTGGCTGGCTCTTCATCGTTAGAAGACTTGGAGGATTGGCTGGGCATATTGGATTGGAACAGCATGCCAACAACGCTGGACTGGAGGTTTTTTTTGTATTATTTTGATGTAAGTCTCTTTGTTCTTTTTGTTCTTACTTTTTGATTTCTATTTTGTTTCCTTTGTTAGTATTTGTTGTTATTTGTTCATTAGGTTTTTATTATTGTTATTTGTTTATTGAGTTGTTAGTTTTTTGTTTATGAGGGTTGTAAAAGTTGTTATTTTTCATGTTTTACATGTATTTGTTATTTGTTATATTATGTTTTTAAGATTTTATTAGTTGACATTGTTATGAGTTTCAGTTATTTGTTATTGAGGCAGTCATGAGTTTTACTTGTTAGGAGCTTAAGTTATTTGCTGTTGTTGTGATTTTTAATTATTTGTTATTGTTATGAGTGTTTGTTAGTTGTTATTGTTATGAGTTTTATTTAGTTGTTATGAGTTTAGTTATTTGTTATAGTTATGAGTTTTAGTTATTTGCCTTAGTTGATATTTTTAGTTATTTGCTATGATAGTTATGAATTTATGTTAACTATTATTGTTCTGAGCTTTATTTTAATTGCATTTAGTAGTTCTTTCTTTCTGTTTTTTTGTTCTGTTGTTTATTCTTTGTCTAATCTTCTCTGTTCTCTCTTTGCCGGGATATCATCGTTGGAAATGGTGCACTTGGATTTGGCTGGCTCTTCATCGTTGGAGGACTTGGAGGAGGCTGGGCATATTGGAACAGCATGCCAACAACGCTGGAGTAGAGGTATTGCTAAGTTGTTAAGGAAAAGCAGAGGTGAGTTGGTTTCATTATCATTTGTGCACTCTTACTAATTAGTACTAACATTTCCCTCCCCTCCCCTACTCTCAACACATTATTTGTAGTAGTTCTTTCTTTCTGTTTTTTTGTTCTGTTGTTTTTTCTTTGTCTAATCTTCTCTGTTCTCTCTTTGCCGGGATATCATCGTTGGAAATGGTGCACTTGGATTTGGCTGGCTCTTCATCGTTGGAGGATTTGGAGGAGGCTGGACATATTGGAACAGCATGCCAACAACGCTGGAGTAGAGGTATTGCTAAGTTGTTAAGGAAAAGCAGAGGTGAGTTGGTTTCATTATAATTTGTGCACTCTTACTAATTAGTACTAACATTTCCCTCCCGTCCCCGACTCTCAACACATTATTTGTAGTAGTTCTTTCTGTTTTTTTGTTCTGATCTTTTTTCTTTTTCTAATCTTCTCTGTTCTCTCTTTGCCGGTAATATCATCGTTGGAAATGGTGCACTTGGATTTGGCTGGCTCTTCATCGTTGGAGGATTTGGAGGAGGCTGGACATATTGGAACAGCATGCCAACAACGCTGGAGTAGAGGTATTGCTAAGTTGTTAAGGAAAAGCAGAGGTGAGTTGGTTTCATTATCATTTGTGCACTCTTACTAATTAGTACTAACATTTCCCTCCCCTTCCCCACTCTCAACACATTTTTTGTTGTAGTTCTTTGCTTTTTTTTGTTTTTTGTTCTGTTGTTTTTTCTTTGTCTAATCTTCTCTGTTCTCTCTTTGCCGGTAATATCATCGTTGGAAATGGTGCACTTGGATTTGGCTGGCTCTTCATCGTTAGAGGACTTGGAGGAGGCTGGGCATATTGGAACAGCATGCCAACAACGCTGGACTGGAGGTTTTTTTTGTAGAAGATGTTAGGTCTCTTTCATTTCTTTTTGTGACTTTTTGATTTCTATTTTGTTCAACACATTTTTTGTTAGTATTTGTTGTTATTTTTTTGGTTTTTATTGTTGTTTTTTGTTTATTGAGTTGTTAGTTCTTTTTGTTTATGAGGGTTGTAAAAGTTGTTAATTTTCATGTTTTACATGTTATTTGTTTATTGGAGGATTCTTTTTTTTGTGGAACAGCATATGGATTTTTTTTTTATTATTTTGATTTTCTCTTTGTTCTTTTTGTTCTTACTTTTTGATTTCTATTTTGTTTCCTTTGTTAGTATTTGTTGTTATTTGTTCATTAGGTTTTTATTATTGTTATTTGTTTATTGAGTTGTTAGTTTTTTGTTTATGAGGGTTGTAAAAGTTGTTATTTTTCATGTTTTACATGTATTTGTTATTTGTTATATTATGTTTTTAAGATTTTATTAGTTGACATTGTTATGAGTTTCAGTTATTTGTTATTGAGGCAGTCATGAGTTTTACTTGTTAGGAGCTTAAGTTATTTGCTGTTGTTGTGATTTTTAATTATTTGTTATTGTTATGAGTGTTTGTTAGTTGTTATTGTTATGAGTTTTATTTAGTTGTTATGAGTTTAGTTATTTGTTATAGTTATGAGTTTCAGTTATTTGCTTTAGTTGATATTTTTAGTTATTTGTTATGATAGTTATGAATTATGTTAACTATTATTGTTCTGAGCTTTATTTTAATTGCATTTAGTAGTTCTGTCTTTCTGTTTTTTTTGTTTTGTTGTTTTTTCTTTGTCTAATCTTCTCTGTTCTCTCTTTGCCGGGATATCATCGTTGGAAATGGTGCACTTGGACTTGGCTGGCTCTTCATCGTTGGAGGACTTGGAGGAGGCTGGGCATATTGGAACAGCATGCCAACAACGCTGGAGTAGAGGTATTGCTAAGTTGTTAAGGAAAAGCAGAGGTGAGTTGGTTTCATTATCATTTGTGCACTCTTACTAATTAGTACTAACATTTCCCTCCCCTCCCCTACTCTCAACACATTATTTGTAGTAGTTCTTTCTTTCTGTTTTTTTGTTCTGTTGTTTTTTCTTTGTCTAATCTTCTCTGTTCTCTCTTTGCCGGGATATCATCGTTGGAAATGGTGCACTTGGATTTGGCTGGCTCTTCATCTTTGGAGGATTTGGAGGAGGCTGGACATATTGGAACAGCATGCCAACAACGCTGGAGTAGAGGTATTGCTAAGTTGTTAAGGAAAAGCAGAGGTGAGTTGGTTTCATTATCATTTGTGCACTCTTACTAATTAGTACTAACATTTCCCTCCCCTCCCCTACTCTCAACACATTATTTGTAGTAGTTTTTTTGTTTTTTTGTTCTGTTGTTTTTTCTTTGTCTAATCTTCTCTGTTCTCTCTTTGCTGGGATATCATCGTTGGAAATGGTGCACTTGGATTTGGCTGGCTCTTCATCGTTGGAAGACTTGGAGGAGGCTGGACATATTGGAACAGCATGCCAACAACGCTGGAGTAGAGGTATTGCTAAGTTGTTAAGGAAAAGCAGAGGTGAGTTGGTTTCATTGTCATTTGTGCAATCTTACTAATTAGTACTAACATTTCCCTCCCCTCCCCCACTCTCAACACATTTTTTGTTGTAGTTCTTTGCTGCATTTTTTTTTTTTTTGCATAAAAATTTTTTTGTTCTGTTGTTTTTTCTTTGTCTAATCTTCTCTGTTCTCTCTTTGCCGGGATATCATCGTTGGAAATGGTGCACTTGGATTTGGCTGGCTCTTCATCGTTAGAAGACTTGGAGGATTGGCTGGGCATATTGGATTGGAACAGCATGCCAACAACGCTGGACTGGAGGTTTTTTTTGTATTATTTTGATGTTAGGTCTCTTTGTTCTTTTTGTTCTTACCTTTTGATTTCTATTTTGTTTCCTTTGTTAGTATTTGTTGTTATTTGTTCATTAGGTTTTTATTATTGTTATTTGTTTATTGAGTTGTTAGTTTTTTGTTTATGAGGGTTGTAAAAGTTGTTAATTTTCATGTTTTACATGTATTTGTTATTTGTTATATTATGTTTTTAAGATTTTATTAGTTGACATTGTTATGAGTTTCAGTTATTTGTTATTGAGGCAGTCATGAGTTTTACTTGTTAGGAGCTTAAGTTATTTGCTGTTGTTGTGATTTTTAATTATTTGTTATTGTTATGAGTGTTTGTTAGTTGTTATTGTTATGAGTTTTATTTAGTTATTATGAGTTTAGTTATTTGTTATAGTTATGAGTTTCAGTTATTTGCTTTAGTTGAGATTTTTAGTTATTTGTTATGATAGTTATGAATTATGTTAACTATTATTGTTCTGAGCTTTATTTTAATTGCATTTATTATTCCTAAGAATATGTCTAATGTTCATTGTTGCGTTATGCATTAGCATCAACATTAGACATGTTGGATAATGAGGAAACAGTGTGTAAAACATCTGTCTTATTGAGGGCCTTATTACAGTCAAACTCAGTTATAACGAAGTCACTGGAACCTATGACATTACTTTGCTATATCCATAATTTTTATATCCGTGAAATGATTTCATAAAATTTTTATAGCTAGGGATTCAAGATAATTTCACTATATCTGTGAATTCACAATATCTGTGTTTGTACCAAACGAGTTTGACTGTATCTATTATTTCAGCTCTATTTTAAAATTTTGTTAGTATTTTATAGTTGGACAGTGTTCAGTAAAGATGAAGAGAAATAAGCCAAATTCTAAACCATCATCGATAAGGTAAGATAGAAAATATTGAATTGATAATAATTGAAAAAATAAAGTAAAACTCGGTTAAAAAGTCACCGGGACCTATAAAATTACTTCACTATATCCATAATTTGTTATATCCGTATAATGAATTCGTTAAATTTATTAAGCTGGGAGATACAAGATAGCTTCGCTATAACCGTGATTTGGCAAAATTTGTGTTCGTACTAAACGAATTTTGCTGTATATAGAAAACTGAAAGTATTATTGTTAAATTATAGATTTATAATATACCATTTCAAATCAATAATATATACAGCCAAACTTCATAGTTCATCTTTATAAGAGCAGAGATCTTTCTTAGGTGGTCCTTTTATTTTTTTCAATGAAATATCCTATAAAACTTTATTAAATGGTCACCTTTATTATGCAATCATTTTAAACAAATTAAAGACCAAAAATTCAAGACACAGAATAAAAGTTATGTAAATCTAAGAAATTAAGGAAATGAAATCTTTGTTGAAAGGGACTGACTAGGGTATTTTAGTGTAAAATGCATGCAGTGAAATAAAGCTGTTGATATTTTTAGCAGATGCACCCTACTGTCCTAGGTGGAAACAGCAGATGCACTCCACTTGACTTGGTGGAAACAGCAGATGCATCCAAAAGGACTTGGTGGATACAGAAGATGCACTCCACTGGACTTGGTGGAAACAGCAGATGTACCCTACTTGCCATGTTGGAGACAGCAAATGGACCCAACAGGACATGGTGGAAACAGTAGATGCACTCCTCGGACTTGGTGGAAATAGCAGCTGCACCCAACTGGACTTGATGGATACAGAAGGAGAACTCCACTGGACTTGGTGGAAACAGCAGATGTACCCTACTGGCCATGTTGGAGACAGCAGATGCACTCAACAGGACTTCGTGGAAACAGCAGATGCACCTAACGGGACATGGTGGAAACAGCAGCTGCACCCAACTGGACTTGGTGGATACAGAAGGTGGACCCAACAGGACATGGTGGATACAACTGGAGGAGACTTGCCTGATGATGTTGACCTTCCAAACAAGACATATCAAAGGAGATAATTGACACTGATCAGGTACATGTATATGAAAAAATCATGATTAAAGATCATTTAATTAACCATGTCAAATTTACTAGTTGACTGATTATTTTTAGCCTGGCTTATTTTTAGCTCTACAGGTCAGAGACGAAAAAGCTTGCGATTGTAAACAAGGGGATGACATGGTGGAAACAGCTGGAGGAGGCAGGACCAATGGATGCTAATCTTCCAAGATGTGGAAACAGCAGATGTCCTCAACAAGACCAGTGTAACAGCAGATGCACCCAACTGGACACTGATGGAAACAACTGGATGATGCATAGCCAGTACTTGCTGATCTTCCAAGATGTGGAAACAGCAAATGCACCTAACAGTACATGGTGAAAACAGTAGATGAACCCAAAAGGACCTGATAGAAACAACTGGAGGATGAATAGCCAAAGGATGCTGATATGAATTTTATCAGGTATGTGACATTATCATAATCTAAGATCAGTTTATTAACAAAGTCAAATGAACTAGTTGGCTAAAATTTTGGCTGATCTTATTTCTTAAAGTCAGCAATACCTGACTTTTGTTATGATGTTCAGCTAGATAAACCATTTCTTTACACAAATATTGAATGTTTGCTTAATAATATAAAACATATATGTTAAACCACTCTTGAGACAACATAACAATTGTTAAAAAAGTTAAATGAGGATTTTCCTTAAAAAAACTTCAGTGATGTATTTTCTTCATTTATTTTCTTCTGACTCTTACTGCAGCTGCAGCCAACAGAACCTTGTGGAAACTGCTGGAATAAACAAGTTTGATGAACCTCTTTTAAGATGGGAAAACAGCAAATACTTCTAAAAAGACTTGGTGAAATAAATCTTGAGGAGGCAAGGCCATTATGAATCTTGAGGCAAACTTGATGGACAATGATTTTCCAGTATGTGAAAACACCAGGTACACCCAAAGTAATTGGTGGAAAGATGGGAAAACAGCCAATACTTCTAAAAAGACTTAATGAAATAAATCTTGAGGAGGCAAGGCCATTATGAATCTTGAGGCAAACTTGATGGACAGTGATTTTCCAATAAGTGAAAACAACAGCTACACCCAAAGTAATTGGTGGAAGGCTGGGAAAACAGCAAATACTTCTAAAAAGACATGGTGAAATAAATCTTGAGGAGGCAAGGCCATAATGAATCTTGAGGCAAACTTAATTGATGGACAATGATTTTCCAATATGTGAAAACACCAGGTACACCCAAAAGGAATTGGTTGAAACAATTAACACAGACAAGCTTGATGGACAATGATCTTCAAAATGTGGAAACAGCAGATGTCCCCAACAAGACTTGGTGGAAACACCTGGAGGACAATTTATGCCTGATGGATGTGGACTTTTCCACCAAGACATACCACAGTGGATATAAACTGATACTGATCAGGTATATGACATTATGATATTCCAAATCATCTTAATGTTAATATTAAGCAAGGTCTTAGTTAACTAGTAGACCAAATTTTTAGTCCAGGACTTTTTTTTGTAGTTGGCAATATATATAGCTTGATTTTGTAATGACTCTTAATTCATACAAATAATACCCGAGAATGATACATCTGATATAATTTATGTGTGAAATTCTAATTAAATTTCACATTTTATGTTGTTGTCTGCATGGTACAGTGTTATTTAAGAGAATCTGCTATAGAGTAGCATAGTAAGGAGTTGATCCTACCATTGTGGGTTCAAATATTATCCCACTGTGGGACAAGAAGACCAGTCTTTCACTAAAATTGTACAAACTGTGATGCCATGTTGCAGTAGGTGCAAAAAAAGTCCCTCACTGCTCAATAGCCTCAATACCAAGTATTGGTCTACATTTGCAGCCCTCCCCTGAAAAATGTTGCAGTGCTATATGAGTGAAAATTTCTGAAGAGGGACTGTCTGCTCGTGAAAAATTTATTCTAGTGTATATTTTTATTATTAATGTTTATATACAACAGAAACCAGTCAGCTAGCGAAAATGTTGTTTCGCTAATTAATACCAAATAGCTAAGTCACTAAACTAAGATGTTGTGAAATTATGGTGTCGATCTAAAGTACTGTATTGATTTCTACTTTTTCCTACCCTTAGAGCTCAGGTGAGCAATGTAGCATATAGGTCTCTTCTTTATTTTTTTTATTCAAACCTGACAATTTCTTGCCTTGTTCGTTTACAGAAAATCAAAGAAACTTTTAGAAGGAACATCATCCTTGAGATCATATTGTGTGGATGAAGAAGCAGGACTTAATTAATGCAGAATTATAATCCACATCTTCAAAGCACTGATGTAAATCCATTTTAGTAACAATGTTTTTTTCAAAGACTTTTTTAAAAATATAAATTTTTGTAAAGGGTGTCCGAATTATGTCAGGGTATGGGGTCGCCCATTCGGACACGTGGGTTCTCTACGGGTACTCCGTCTTCCTCCCACACTGACCCCCTGCTTTTCTTTTTCTTCTTCATTAGATAATTATAATCATATTGTTAAGATGAAGTAGTTGAAGGTTAGTTGTAAGTAGGCTTTATCGATACCCTGGGGCATTACTGGTTGGAACTTAAGTTCCTTCACTGCCACGGTTGCCAGGCTGGCTCGGGGAGGAGAAGCTGAAAGGGACTAGTTGGAGGCTGCTTTGTCTTTTAAATTATCTTTTTATTATTATGCCAATGAGATAATGATTCATTATTGTAACTGTTTTGATGAAGTTAAATATGTTCCAGATGTAATGATTGAGTATTCATAGAATGTCATTTATATGTGTAAATTCTGTCAGCTGTTGTAGAAAGAATAATTTATATAGTCACCTTTTCGTTATTATAGTTTATTGTGAAATTGAATCCCTCAATAAGTCAATATACTGATGTAACTAAATATTCAGAAAGAAATATATGTAACATTGTAATATTGTATTTGAAAGTGTAATATAGAGATTTGCCTCTAAAAATGTTAAATTGTGATATTTTAATGCAATTGTTAATTGTTGATGTGAAATTGTGAATTTATTGTGGAATATTGAATTGTAAATGTGAAATTGTTTTAATCTCATTGGCAAGTTTTGTGCAAAAAAACAAAAAAAAAAAAAAAAAAGAATGAAAGAAAAAAAACAAGCAAAAAAATGGAAAAAAAAAACAAAACCAAAAAAAATAGAAAAAAACAAAACTAAAAAAAAATGAAAAAAATATATATATGTGAGAAAAAAAAAGAAAAAGAGAAAAGAAAACAACAGAAAAAAATGAGAGAGAAAGAAAATAACTGAAAAAAGGCACAAAACTTTTAATGCTGCCTGCTTGAATTAACATATTCTATGGGATATGTTATTTTCAAGCAGAAGGTTCCAAGCCCTTAAAAGCAGAGGAGAAGTTTTGGTGTTTATATGTACAATGCATTGCTGAATGTGTGTACTATGGAGTGCTAATTTAATGATCAAACTGTTAAAAATCATTGTAAAATATCAGTTCATACGGTATGTACAATGCATCAATTATCTTATCAAACAATTTCTAGCAAATGATATCTTCAATAATCTAGCACGGTGTTTATTGCTAAAATGAATGCAAAATCATTGTTTTCATATGCAACTTAATTTGTTATACCTTTAATAATTTGTTACCATACAAATCTATACGAAACAAAGTCTAACAATTTTTTCTCATCAAAATTTGTCCGTTGTCTGTCGTTGTTGTCGTCGTCGTTGTCGTTGTAAACTTTTCACATTTTCTTCTTCTTCTCAAGAACCACTGGGCCAATTTCAACCAAACTTGCTACAAAGTATCCTTGGGTAAAGGGGATTAAAGTTTGTTCAAATGAAGGGCCACGCCCTTTTCCAAGGGGAGATAATTATGAATTAGAGAAAAATTAATGGCATTTTAAAAAAATCTTCTTCTCAAGAACCACTGGGCCAGGAGAGATGAAACTCATATGAAATCATCCTCAGGTAGTGTAGATTCAAATTTGTTCAAATCATGACCCCCGGGGCTAGGGTGGGGCCAAAATGGCTGACCAAAGTTTAACATAGGAATATATAGGAAAAATCTTTAAAAATCTTCTTCTCAAGAACCACTGGGCCAGGAAAGATGAAACTCATGTGGAATCATCTTCAGGTAGTGTAGATTCAAGTTTCTTCAAATCATGACCCCAGGGCTAGGGTGGGGCCAAAATGGCCGACCAAAAATTTACATAGGAATATATAGGAAAAAATATTTAAAAATCTTCTTCTCAAGAACCACTGGGCCAGGAAAGATGAAACTCATTTGGAATCATCCTAAGGTAGTGTAGATTCAAGTTTGTTCAAATCATGACCCCGGGGCTAGGGTGGGGCCAAAATGGCCGACCAAAGTTTTACATAGGAATATATAGGAAAAAATATTTAAAAATCTTCTTCTCAAGAACCACTGGGCCAGGAAAGATGAAACTCATGTGGAATCATTCTCAAATAGTGCAGATTCAAATTTTTTCAAATCATGACCCCCGGGGCTAGGGTGGGGCCAAAATGGCCGACCAAAGTTTTACATAGGAATATATAGAAAAAATCTTTAAAAATCTAATTCTTCTCAAGAACCACTGGGCCAGGAGAGATGAAACTCATGTGGAATCATCCTAAGGTAGTGTAGATTCAAGTTTGTTCAAATCATGACCCCGGGGCTAGGGTGGGGCCAAAATGGCCGACCAAAGTTTTACATAGGAATATATTGGAAACATCTTTAAAAATGTTGTTCTCAAGAACCACTGGGCCAGGAAAGATGAAACACATGTGGAATCATCCTCGGGTAGTGTAGATTCAAGTTTGTTCAAATCATGACCCCTGGGGCTAGGGTGGGGCCAAAATGGCCGACCAAAATTTTACATAGGGATATATAGGGAAACCTTTTAAAATCTTCTTTTCAAGTACTTCAAAGCCATGATTAGTGATATTTTTCTATTTAAATGGAATCATCCTCAGGTAGTTTAGATTCTAATTTTTTTCAAATCATGACCCCTTGGGAGGTTAAAATTCAAGCCCCCCCAGTAAACTTTCAGTTCTGATCTGATATGTGCTTTTTTTCTGGCCGATGTGCTCAGGTGAGCGCTGTGGCCCCTGGGCCTCTTGTTAGCTCACCTGAGCCGTAGGCTCAAGTGAGCTTTTCTGATCAAAATTTGTCCGTTGTCTGTCATCATTGTCGTCGTCATAGTTGTTGCGTTGTTGTAAACTTTTCACATTTTCATCTTCTTCTCAAGAAGCACTGGGCCAATTTCAACCAAACTTGCTACAAAGTATCCTTGGGTAAAGGGGATTCAAGTTTTTGCAAATGAAGGGCCATATCCTCTTCCAAGGGGAGATAATTATGAATTAGTGAAAAAATAATGGAATTTTTACAAAATCTTCTTGTCAAAAACCACTGGACCAGGACAGATGAAACTCATCTTAAATCATCCTCAGGTAGTGTAGATTTAAATTTGTTCAAATCATGACCCCCGTGGCAAGGGTGGGGCCACAAAGGCCGATCAAAGTTTCACATTGGAAAAATCATTAAAAATCTTCCCTTCAAGAACCATTGGGACAGGAAAGATGAAATTCATGTTAAATCATTCTCAGATAGTGTACATTCAAGATTATTCAAATCATGAACCCCGGGGATAGGGTGGGGCTACAATGTCTGATCAAAGTTTTACATAAGAATATAGAGGGAAATCTTTAAAAATTTTCTGTTAAAGCCATGCATGATTAGTGATATTTTTATGGAAGCATCTTCAGATACAGTAGATTCTTTTTTGTTCAAATCATAACCACTTAGGGATAGGGTGGGGCAACAATGGGGGATCCAAGTTTTACATTAACTCCAAATGGAGTTACCTTTCCTTACACTTATATCAAAACTTATCAAAATCAACTATAGGCTAAATACGTTCTTGTTTATTAGTGATCTACTTTTAACTACTGTTGAACATTATGGAGTATTTTTTTATATCACTACGATGATTTTAAGCCACCTGAAGACTGCAATATTTGACGAGCCTGAGGGACAAGGTTATGTTAACGCCATTTCAAATAAAATCTTTACTGTAAGCACTTTCTAACAAATTGGCCATATAACGGACTTCAGCAAATGAAAAAGGAATTAACTGGTGGTATGGAATGCTTTATGAGTTCTCATCGCTTAACCATTGAAACATATAATAAAACAATTCTTGTTGTTTCTTAGGTCAATTCAATGATTTAAATGTAGTTGTTTTACTTGATTCTTAATATTTAAGCAACTCACTTTAATTTTGATTGATATATGACATAATTCTTATAAAGTTGGGAAGTCCCTGTTGCTCTCGGATAAAAAACATATAACAACTTTAAATTAAGAAACAATAAAACAGTAAAGTCTTAAGAAATGTTTATTTAAAAAATTACATGATTTAAGCACTACATTACATAGTCACATTAAAGTTTTATTTGAAAAAGTTGAAGAATTCACAACAAGACTTAGTGGAATATACATCATTGAGTTCATTTTACAAAAAAATACATTCAGATTCTGTAAATTCATAAAAAGTGATTCATAAACACATTCAATCTTGAATATGAAATGAAAAATATAATAAATATTCTATTAAACTTGTACACAATTAAAATGTATAGAAAGCTCAAGGAGAAAAGTAAAATTAAGTTGAGTGTGCAAAGAGAACAAAGACTTGGGAATGAAAACAAGAGGCCCATGGGCCTTATAGGTCACCTGAGCATCATGCAACAACTTTGCAACGAATGACTTTGGTTCATGTTTTAAACTAAACATCATGGCATTCACAATTTTGAAAGAGGCACCATTGCTAATCATAACTATACACTTAGGATGTTTAGTTTGGTTACTTAATACCCATAGACAGAGTAGGGGAACAAAAAAATGTATCTCAACTAATCAGTATTGAGTAATATTAAGCAATAATCAGTAGTGCCACTACCACACATGAACCCCTGACCCTTGGTCCACACATTTCACAATTTTGGAAAAGGCACCATGTTTGATTAATAGAAAGGAGAAGACCCAGGGGCGTTGAAATTCACAATTCAGGAAGAATGGCCCTTGCTCATCATAGCTATATAGGTAGTTCATCTGCTTAAAACCCAGGAGCAGAGAAGAAGATTTTCAAACAATTTCTGCATTTTCTCTATTAAACCAATAGAGCCCCGCCCTAACATTTACAGAACCCCTGACCCTGGGGTCATAAAATTCACAAAGGCATTCTTCCTTATTACTATTACTAATTACTATATTGTTAGTTTATTTAATACCCAGGAACAGAGAAGAAAATTTTTAAAGAAATAATGTATTTTCACTATATATTCAATAGAGCCCCACCCTCAGACCAGAACCCCTGACCCTGGGGCCATAAAAATTCACAATTTTTGAAGAGACATTCTTGCTCATCATAAATATGTACTTAGTTAATTTATTTAAAACTCAGGAGCAGAGAAGATTTTCAAAGAATTAATGTATTTTCACTATATAATCAAAAGAGCCCCACCCTAACACCTGAGCCACTGACCCTGCGGAAATAAAATTCCCAATTTTGGAAGAAGCATTCTTGCTCATCATAACTATATAATTAGTTAATTTGTTGAACACCCACTACCCAGCAGTAGAGAAGAAGATTTTCAAACAATTTCTGCATTTTCTCTATATAATCAATAGAACCCCCCCCCCCCCTAACACTAGAACCCCTGACCCTGGGGCCATAAAATTCAAAATTTTGGAAGAAGCATTCTTACTCATCATAACTATATACTTAGTTTGTTTGTTGAATACCCAGCAGCAGAAAAGAAGATTTTCAAACAAATTCTGCATTTTCTCTATATTATCAATAGAGCCCCGCCCTAACACTAGAACCCCTGACCCTGGGGCCATGAAATTCACAATTTTGGAAAAGGCATTCTTCCTCATCATAAATATGTACTTGCATGGTTGGTTTATTTAATACACAGGAGCAGAGAAGAAGATTTTTAAAGAAATAATGCATTTTCACTACATGTATATAATCAATAGAGCCCCGC